TGGCGGGTCCGGGCTGGGGATTCGAACCCGTCACCTTAGGTGTACGTGGCTGGCGCCTTAGCCGGTTGAGCTATAGGTGCCGAGCCTAATTCTCTAATTCTTAATACAAGGGCCATTTTGGCAAAATCTTCCCTGACTACTTTGTCAAGGTCAGATTCTTTTGTGGATATTTCAGGTGGTTAACTATACCTTTCTGTTCTTTTATATATAATATCTGTCTCCCTCCAGTAGACTGTAGGTCTAATGAGGGAAAAGATCATGTGTCTTTTCCTCTCTGTGATCTCTGTAGAGCCAGGCACAGTGTGAAGCACACGAGGGTAATCACATAGTTCCTTACTGCCCTGTGTGGTACAAAAGCATCTCATCATGTCCTAGAAATGGTACTTTCCTTTTATTATTTTTCACTTTTTTATATACTTTAATTTTTATTTTTTATTTCTTTTGTTTTATTTTGAGACAGAGTCTCACTCTGTCAAACTGAGTAGAGTGCTGTGGCATCACAGCTTACAGTAACCTCAAACTCCTGGGTTCAAGAGAGCCTTTTGCCTCAGCCTGCCTAGTACAGGCACTCGACACAACTCCCAGTTGACTTTTTTTTATTTTCTGTAGAGACAGAGTCTCGCTCTTGCTCAGGCTGGTCTTGAACTCCTGAGCTAAAGCAATCCACCTACCTCGACCTCCCAAAGTAGGATTAGGCATGAGCCACAGTGCCTGGCCATTTTTTTGTACTTTTAAATTAACAAACATACTGCCTGGTTTTGGAATTCATCAGGGACTAAATATGGTATCTTATTTCTATGCTCCCTTTCTCCCCAAGAAGGTGCTATAACTTTCTTCTGTCCCCCCAGGTGGTGCTGGACAACACAGCCCTGAACCGGATCGCCACAGACCGCCTACACATCCAGAACCCGTCCTTCTCCCAGATCAATCAGCTGGTGAGAAGAAGAAAAGAAAATAGCCTATGCATCAGGTTATATCCAAATAAATCTATTACGAAGTAAAAAAATTATTAAGCTGAACCATCATAAGTTAG